ATGCTCTGTTATGGAGAGTTCACCTGATCAATTCTAATCTGACCCACCAGGCTGTCAAATTTCTTTACGTGCTTTTGTAGAATAATGTCGCTTCACATTGTACTCCTTGCAGACAGCTACTTTCTCTTGGTAAATCAGACACAGGATGTTTCTGTTTTGTTCAATAGCAAAAAAATCAGTGATCCAACTATCTTTGAAAACTCGACATTCAGCATCAATTTTTCATTTCCTCTCGTTTGCCATTTTTGAGCGTAGCGTAGGCCCTGTAGCTAATAGAGCCAAAATTAATTTTAGTCATAGAAAAACTAATTTGGCGGAGACAGGTGAAGCTAAAAACGACTCAGCAGTTCAAAATCACCATTTTATTACTATGTAATAATACTGTGGTATCAATATGGACCCCCACCCATCAGGTATAGTTATAATACATAAGGTACAGCCTGACCTGTGCAGGTGCTGCCATGATATGCCAAGTGCAATCTCAAATGCCAATGGAGAGTCCAGGCAGGACTTAACCTATATCCTGAATTTTGATTTCAGCCAAAGGTATCAAAATTATCAAAATGCTCCTTGCCACCGTGAGTTTTTAAATTACAGCAAAGCAGATTTAGATCAAATCTCAGGAAAAATGTACTCACTGTAAGAACAACAGGACAATGGAAAATGCCTAGGGAAGTTGTGGTTTTTAGAAAGTATGTATGTTTGGTATGACTTAGGAACAGGACATCATTCTTCTGGCAGGGGGTTGGACTAGATTAGGGCTGCCTAGCTGACTACCTGCAGGCCACATGTGGCCCACAAAGAGCCAGGATGTCACCCACAGTCTACATGGGGTCTGCAAGCAGTAAATATATAGGGCATGGGCTTGGGCAGCCACCTCTCCCACTGCTGTGCAAGAGAGAAAGGCTGGGGGGGGGAGGGGGGGGGAAGATGAGTGGTCCATGTCCTGCTAATGTAGCCTGCATGGATGAGGATGGGGGTCTGCTGAGGATGGGGTAGCCCGTGCAGTGAGGGGCTCCTAGGGGCCCACCCCCACAGCATGCAGCCTGTGCAACACATGCTGGTGTCATCTGGGGCCCACAGCCTCACCAGATCTGAACAGCCCTGGACTAGCTTATCTTTGAGATCTCTTCCATGTCTCTGCAGTATATGCCTACAATTTCTGTTTAATTAACCACAAGGACCATGATCAAGTTAGTAAAGGACACTTGTACACACTTTATGTTGGCAGAAATGGACAGCACAAACTTCCCCTTATGGCTCCAGCTGCATTCATCCTTGAAAACAAGCATGTTGTGCTAAATCAAGGATGTCCCTTGGTGTTATACGCAGGTATTTAACTTTACTGCAGTCTTAATTTTAGAAGAAAACAGTTAACCAGTAACAGGAAGTAACATGGTCATTGTGGTTAATTTAATAGAAATTGTAGGCATATACTGCAGAGACATGGAAGAGATCTCAAGGATCAAGCAAGGGTCTTATCTTCTTGTTAGTTGGTTCCAAATTTTATTTGTGAGGCATGATGCTGCTAGGCCACCATAAAAATCCTGTTGCCTAGTAATCCAAGCAGTGTAGCTTTCATAGATGGTTGAATAAAGATGAAAGTGCAGAAAAGGGTGTGATGGTATTGGTACATGAATAAATGAATGAATGACTTGAATGGAAGTGAGTTACAGGAAGTTTGTAGCAGGAAGAGGAATAGGAAAGTGTAGCAGATGAAAGATGGAGCCAATGCCTGGGTGACTCTTTGTAAGGAAAGACATCCATGGACAGATCTAGAATTTTGAAAAGGGGAGTGCAGATGGTGTGGTACATCATCACATAAAACATTCATTTTTTTTCCACGTACAAATAAAACTAGAAACTTTATTAATATGCCTTGGACCAAAGGCTGTATTGTGCAATTTAAGATTGAAGTAAAAATAACTATAATGTCATTGGAAGGAGTTAAGAACAATCTGCAGGGCTGAGAAATAGGAGCTTCATTAACAGAAGCAGCTAACACACAGCAGAATTGCAGAACAAAGGGGCTGGCTTGATTAGTGGAACATCAAGACAAATATTAAAAAGAAGAAATGGTTATTAGCTTGTGTACAATGAAGCATTCAGAAGAGATCAGGTAGATTATAACGAGTCATGAAATCAAGCGATTCCCTCAGCATTTCCTGACTAGAAATGTTGCTGTTACTGCCATGCAGTTGGTTTTAGACTTTGGAATCACCAGTGCACCATCCCCCACTTCCTGACTCTTGCTTGGAGATGGCTAAATGAGTAGCTCCTTCTTTGTCAGAGTGATTAGAGACTGAGAATATATAACCTGTTTTGGGATGTGCACTTCCAAAAACATTAGAGCGAAAGACCCTTTCAAGGACAGGCCACCCTTGAGGAGCTTAGATTCTTGGAAGTGCTTTTTTGTTTTTGGTGGCAGAGGTTACCAGTAATATGCAAGTTTGGTGGGAGATAAAGTTGAAGCATTTACTCTAATGATCAAAGAGAGACTTTTTGAAGCCCTTCATGTGACCCTGTCAGGGGGTATTAACAAAGAGCTGTTCTGCAGTACAGTAACATGCTTAACCAAAAAGTATAGCAGACTTGGGGTATGTGTGCATGTAACATTTAAATTGGCTTAAATGCAGTTTAAATCTGACGTGGACAGGCATACAAGCCTGTTAACTCAGTTTAAAGCTGCTTGGAATGATTCAAAGGTATACTTCAAAAAGAGTACTTGATTTTCCAACCGGTTTACTCTGAATGGGGTCAGTGTTACATCTGGACTCCAAATCTTCTGTGACATTGGTCTGATCACTCCTCCATGCATCCCACACTGCACTGCTCCTCACTACCATCTCCTGTCTTCCCCTACTGTAACTGATGCTAAGAAATGCAGCCAGAATTCTACTACATGCCCTCTTTTTTTTTAAATGCCCTTTTGTTGGTGCTTTATCAGTGAGCTTCCTTAGACTGCCTGTTCAGTAAAAATTTTACTGTTACTCCTTACTCCATTTCAGCCCCTGGGGAAACTGAAAACATGGGTACAAGCACTAGCTCCTTCCCCTGTACTCCCAAGTGCTCCAGGCACTCCAAGTCAGACAAATACCTTGCAGAGTTCAGTACAGTGCAAGCTGTAGAACTTTACTGAACTCATGTTTAGAGAGAAGAGGAAAGTAAAAGTGCTCCTAGTGACAAATCACCTGCCCTTAGGGCCCCCAAAGCATGGGTGCAAGTAATCCCCACTTCCCTTCCTCTGCCTGGGTAAACCAGTCACTGTGGATAGCCTCTGGTGGTTAAACATCTCCTAAGAGATGGGTGATTGGCAGATCCAAATTCTCATCTGAGTACTGCTTACCATATTTTGTAGTGTATACGCTGACACAGTGTATAAATCAACCACATTTTTTCTGATGCAAAAAGTTAAGAATTTCGTAGATCCAGTGTATAAGTCAACTTAACTTTTTGGATCAGAAAAATGAGGTCGACCTATACTGGCCCCTGCGTGTCCTTATTATGGGCCAGGCACCTGTGGGGTGGATACGTGCTGCAGTGCTGCTTGCAAGGGATGGGTCCGGGCTTGCCACTTGGCTGGTGCGGCCCCATCTCCTGTGAGTGGCGTGGCCTGAGCTGCACCAGCTGAGTATTGAGCCTGGTGCTACTCGCAGGGATTGGGGCTTTGTGAGCTGAGTGCCAAGCCTGACCCTGTCTGTAGCGAGTGGCACTTCTGAGCCCAGCCCTGTCCCCTGTCAGTGGCACCAGGCTTGGCACTTGGCTGGCATGGCCCAAGCAGCACCACTCACAGGAGGAGGGGCGGATTTCCAAGCCCGGCACCGCTTGCAGAGTATGGGGCTGGGCTTGGCACTTGGCAGTGCTGCTTGCAGCAGACTGAGCCAAGCTTGGCACTTGGCTGGCGGGGCCCAGGCAGTGCCGCTATAGGGGATGGGGCCACACCAGCCGAACCTGGCCCCATCCCCTGCAAGTGGCACTGCAACATATGTCCACCCACCAGGTGCCTGGCCCACAGTGAGGGTGTGCAGGAGTCGATATTAGTCAAGTGCCAAGCCTGACACTACTTGCAGGGGACAGTGATATGGTGTATAGGTCAAGATTGAATTTTAAGAGTTAAAAATTCAGCTTCAAAACTTGACTTATACACTGTGAAATATGGTAATAACTTGTAAATACAGATTTGTGTCCTATTTGTGTATTAAACAATATGTTTCTGGTTTGATCTGAAAAGTATCTGTGGCTTTTCTAATGATTTAGGGCTAGTCCCTTCACTGGAGAAAGGATTTAATCACTTGCTCTGCGTACTAAGCTCCTTTCATTTTGTTTACAAAATATGTTCTGATGTGCTAGGCTGTGTGTGAAACTTACTGCTGAGCAGACCAAGGCTCCTTTCATGGGTTAATTGATTGGTATGTTTTTTGGAATCCAAGCTAATTGCTTTAAGCAGTTTTTAGGGTTATCTTATTATGAAAGGTGCTCCATGAATACCAAGACCCAAGCTTCCAAAACTAGGAACTTAAAACTAAGATGCTGAAGAGAAACTTTCAAAGGTGTAAAGGGCCCAACTCCTATTCACTTTCAATGGGAGTTAGGCACTTCGCTTACCTTTTTGCCATTGAAAATTATTTCCCCATTGTATGTTTAAACAACTGTTATAAATGAAGTACCTGGTTTTTAAAATGCTAACTATAAAGCAGCAACCCTTAATTTAAGATAAGTCACACATTTGGGAACCTTTATGAGCTTAATTATAGGCAAGACTGTGAAACAAAATATTTTATCTTAGATTCTTTTCATATAAAAAGAAAGCTTAAATCTTGTTTTCAGAAAACCCCAGAAGAGATGTTGTTTTGACATATAATTGTCTTGATAATACTAGTGAAGGAGACTGGAAAAGGCAAGGGTTAAATAGTTTACTTCTGTAGTGGTTTTATTTTGAAGGTAGATACTGTAGGAATTTGTCTTACCTTGCCGATTCAAATATTATTTCTATTTTTCAGGAACCCTCCTCATCCACTAATCAGTGTACTTGAAAACAGACCTGTTTGCTGGCCAGTTGTCCTGCAGCAGATAACAGTATTCTTCCAACAGTTCCAAGAGAGGTAATCTTCCCCCCCACAATATAAATAACTGGATTATGTCTGTGGAGTGCACTGCTTCCTCAAAAAAGTGTTTGCTGCACTGTGAGAGAAATGTACATAAATAGGAATAGTTGTCTGTTTCTGTTTAAAAAAAAATCTTAGATTTCCTTGAATAATATAGATTGTAGACTAGACCTGATTGAAAAATCAAAAAGCAGTTTAGTCAAAATGTAAAATGTTACAGTGACTTGTAAAGTATTGGGTGTGGAGAATTTATTTGCTAAATTCAATAATGAAAAATGTTATGATAAAATCTATTGAAAATGCTGTGGAATTGGTTATCAAAGGTTTTCATTGATAATGTTTTGGAAAATGTCTTGGTTTTAAAAAGTTGCTAACTTATTTATGGAAAATAAAATGTTTCAACAAACTTGATAATCTGTAAAATAAATAAAATAAATAAATGTTTTTAATTACAATTTTTTAAATTGTAATTAAAATAGATTCTCATTATAGATTAATTCACCCTTTTTAGACTATTTTGGCATGACCAGATGAGCACAGTTGTTTGCAGTGCCACATACCATGCAGTCCTGTGTTCTCCGTGCTGCAAGGGTCTGCTGCCCAAGTGTGTGCTCTGCAATTTTTTTTTCTGTGGGTTTTTTTGACCCTTGGATATCCAGGTGGCCAAAAAAACCATGGAAACCACCCCCCCGAGCAATGCACGCTTGGCCAGTGTGTGTTGCTGAAAAGCGGAGCTGGCCCTCCCCAGAGGTGTGCTCTGCTGCCAGCCAGGCTTTATGTGGCATAATCACCGCAGCTGCAGCCCTGGGAGGACCCCAGCCTCCCGTACCCCACCTGGGGTAACAAGCCACGCACCAAAGTGCACCTAGCACAAGCATTTCCCGGTGACAAGCAGTGGTGCAAGGTGCACCACCACTACTTGTCCCTGGGGAACCAAATGTCCATGCACATCTGGACACACCTTTAGAGTCCATTCATAGCATATGATGAAGTAGGCTGTCTCCTGCAAAAACTCATGCTTTTCTGAACAAGTTAGTCACAAGGGCCCCCTCTACACATGCAGGTAAAGGTACAATTGAATCTAATGCATGATTCACACAATTGTGCCATGCTACACATGCATGGCAGGAGGTGCAATTATGAGATTGTGCATTAGATCTAATTGTGCCTTATTGTTTGTGTAGGGGGAGACTGATCCCGGGTTCCCTCTGCATTGACAAGAAGCAGGCTCCCATGGCTGGGAGACCTCTTTGCTGAGAGGGCTCTCAGCTGCAAGGGCCATACACAGCTGGGATAGTGTCTTGTCAGGTGCAGGTCTCTTGGTCCCACCAGCACGTGTGGGCCTGGGGGTTTCATGTGTCTCAGAGTCTCGGGGCAGCTGCGATCGTCAGGGCTGGAGGGTTTCACATTGGGCATGGTATACCCCTGTGGCTGGGAGCCCTGTCAGTTGATGGGGCTCCCAGCTGCGGGGAATACCTTGCTATACCTGCTCATTAAAGCTCAGTAGCAACCAATACACATTTTTGAGGTCTGTCTTTGTAGCTGTTTGGAGATTTTTATCATATAATAGCTACTTTGCATGTGTAGCTGGCCTTAAGGTAATTGCACAATAAACCAGTTAATTGCTTCATACCTGTAATGTTTCATAGTTTCTAGGGTTGGAAGGGACCTGAGCA